GGATTACTACAGAAGTGGGGTTATATTGAGTTTATTATTTCATTTGAAACACATTGAAATATTAGCGGTGGAACTTCTAAGACTTTCTAGGTGCTTAATTGGATAAAAGTTTTATTACCTCTGATCTAGAAAGTCCAGCATTATGAAATATTAAACGATTTTGATGGTCTCAAATTCTTAAAGAATATAGGGACGGACAGATAAAATCGACTTTAAAATACATTGGTACATCCAAAAACATTCATAACGACCGATTATATAATTTTACTAAACATTTTCATTTAAATTTCATTTACATTAAAGTTCTTTCATTGAAGTACTAAACTACACTCGAAAAATTCATCCCAAAATACATCAAAAGTCCATCCTTAGCTTGTATCTAATATCCAGTTGAAATATTTTCTAAAAGTGCATTTATTTTATTTTACAACAAATACCATTTTATGGTAGTTCCTCTTTTATATTTGCTTTATGGTCAGTTTTGTGTTATAACATGGATTTTTCTCTATACAATTTGTTTGAATGCAAATATTTACGGTGGTTTTGTGTATGAAACGTGAGTTTTTTTTTTTCCTCATTTGTAGTATATAAGTAATTTAATTTGTGGTTTATTAATATAATTAAGTAAATGTAGTTGAATTATTTTGTATAGTTTTTTTCAGGGTATTTACATGAATATAACTACACATATACCATTAAATATGTACATTACAGTGGTCCCCGTTTGTATGGAGAACACATAAAGTACCTGAAGTCCCCACAGAAAATCAACAAATAATATAACATTTCTTAAAATTTGTAGTCAATATTTGGTAATAGCTAAATCGTAGAATATAAGGAATTTTTTGAAATTCGTATTTTTGAATTTTTTAAATTTAATCATTTTATAGCGTAAACGGAAACACTTAATTTGGTAGTTTATTTTAGCATATTTTGTCTGAAAAATTACTGTAAATAGTTTGATACCTTTTGAAAGCATAGCTATTCTTCTTCTCCTGGACGGGGAAAAGATAATACTCTTTATTAGTAGTTCCTTACTTCCTCCTTGAAACTAACTAACTAACTAACTAACTAACTAACTAACTAACTAACTAACTAACTAACTAACTAACTAACTAACTAACTAAACTAACTAACTAAACTAACTAACTAACTAACTAACTAACTAACTAACTAACTAACTAACTAACTAACTAACTAACTAACGAACTAACTAACTAACTAACTAACTACTACTAACTAACTACTAACTAACTAACTACTAACTAACTAACTAACTAACTAACTACTAACTAACTAACTAACTAACTAACTAACTAACTAACTAACTAACTAACTAACTAACTAACTAACTAACTAACTAACTAACTACTAACTAACTAACTAAACTAACTAACTAACTACTAACTAACTAACTAACTAACTAACTAACTACTAACTAACTAACTAACTAACTAACTAACTAACTAACTAACTAACTAACTAACTAACTACTAACTAACTAACTAACTAACTAACTAACTAACTAACTAACTAACTAACTAACTAACTAACTAACTAACTAACTAACTAACTAACTAACTAACTAACTAACTAACTAACTAACTACTAACTAACTAACTAACTAACTAACTACTAACTAACTAACTAACTAACTAACTAACTAACTAACTAACTAACTAACTAACTAACCTAACTAACTAACTAACTAACTAACTAACTAACTAACTAACTAACTAACTAACTAACTAACTAACTAACTAACTAACTAACTAACTAACTAACTAACTACTAACTAACTAACTAACTAACTAACTAACTAACTAACTAACTAACTAACTAACTAACTAACTAACTACTAACTACTAACTAACTAACTAACTAACTAACTAACTAACTAACTAACTAACTAACTAACTAACTAACTAACTAACTAACTAACTAACTACTAACTAACTAACTAACTAACTAACTAACTAACTAACTAACTAACTAACTAACTAACTAACTAACTAACTAACTAACTAACTAACTAACTAACTAACTACTAACTACTAACTAACTAACTAACGACTAACTAACTAACTAACTAACTAACTAACTAATCTAACTAACTAACTAACTAACTAACTACTAACTAACTAACTAACTACTACTAACTAACTAACTAACTAACTAACTAACTAACTAACTACTAACTAACTAACTACTAACTAACTAACTAACTAACTAACTAACTAACTAACTAACTAACTAACTAACTAACTAACTAACTAAATACTAACTAACTAACTAACATAACTAACTAACAACTAACTAACTACTAACTAACTAACTACACTAACTAACTAACTAACTAACTAACTAACTAACTAACTAACTAACTACTAACTAACTAACTAACTAACTAACTAAATAACTAACTAACTAACTAATCCTCCTGTTTTTTTTACAAAATGTTCACATGAATATTAAAGTTCTTCGTGCAAAATTTGAAGAATTTAGTTCTATTTGTTTGCATTATAAACTAATTTTGTAATTAATTTGTATGGGAGGTACCGCTCCCCTCATTGGTAGTCCGCCAATGTTTACATGGATGTTAAAGTTCTTCGTGCAATTCCCAATTATATAATTTATTTGGGAGGTGTCACTCCCCCTGCTGCTAGTCCGCCTACTTTTTATCCTAAATAATCATATTGACTCTAAAGTGGCTCCGACAAAATTTGAGGTCCTAACTGTTATATTTCCTCAGATATACTGATTTAGTATTAATTTAATTTTAATATTCTTAATATGGGCGTTGCTCCTCGCCCACTTGAAATTACAAAATAAAAAGTAGCCTACAACCTCTTCCGGATATACAGGAATATACTGTGCAAATTTCGGTTCAGCCGTTCAGTAGTCTATAAACTTCAAATATACAAACATACAAACATACAGGCACACATTCATTTTTATATATATAGATACTGCCACTATTGAATGAGATAATTTGAAACCCTTTCGTCCTCCAAATGTTACTTTTGGAATTTTCCATAACATTATTATCCTATATTGTATTATATGTTTCAGAGGTTTTTCTAAAATAAATTATTTGTTGAAATTAAAGCATAAACAGGAAGAAAATAAATACATATAGTCGGGCGTGACCGACCCCATTTAAGTGGTGTAGAGTATAATGATCAAAATTTTGAATCAGTCTAATACTGCATATTAGAATGTGCATATACATATTTATATTCAAGAAGAAAATTCTTTTGGATGATGGCTAATGAAAGGTTTTATATTATACAAAGCTTAAATTTTTTCATTTTTTTATGCCAAATGAAAACGAAATTTTATTAAAGTTTTTTTTTTTCATTAATAAAAATTAGTAGTTGTACTGGAGCATGAATGAAAATATGACATAATTTTTAGGATAATTTCGGGTAATACGAATATTAGGAAGGGATCCCTTTGGTATTTATTATAACTCTTAGATGTTTGCTGTATGTATTGTATTGTTGTATCATATTGCTAATTTGAAACTAAAGTATTGCAAATTTAGTATATCACCATTGTGTTTAGCGAATTTTAGGTAAATTTTACTCTTTTTGAAGAAACGGTTTGTCGGTTAACTGAAAAAGTATCATTTCTATAGAACCAATTAACATATACTACATATTGGAGATGGAATAACAAAAACAGCATAAATTCCTACTCAGTTCAGATTTAGACGTTTTGGGAAGATATAGGTGAAAGAAATCAAAGATATTTTCTCAGAATCGTTTGATTTTTGATTTTTTATATTTTATACAAGATATTTATAAGGAAAAATTGTACATAATCGATGAGAAGCATGGCAAATGTATGAACATATGCATGTGTGTGTATGCTTTCCATTGCAGCAAAACAGTACATGAATTTTCTTGTCGATAGTACAGTTATGGCCTAACGGTTGTTTTCAATTTATTGTATAAATGACAAATAGATGGCGCTATATGTAAATAATACACATACATTACATTGTTGATAAAGCAGTTCTCATACAATTTTCCTTATACATTCAGGAGGGTGGTTTTTTTGAATTCAAATCTTAAAATAACGGAATACAAAACAAATTTAACTTTTTATTTGAAAATTTTTCAAAATTTATGTTCAAAGTTTTATTATTCAAACTGATGGGAAATAAGTTTTTTTTTGTTTTCATGGAAGAAAAATTATAAAAAATTTATTTTTTAAAACACTTTAGTATGAATGGTATAATGAATATATGCTGGGGTTTAAAACGCACAAAAATAATGACCCTTTAGTCACCTAAAAGTATACAAATTGGATCAGAATATTCTTCCTATTAACCCTATTTCCGTCCGTCTATCCGTCCACCCATCCGTCCGTCCATCCATCCATCCGTCCGTCCGTCCGTCCGTCCGTCCGTCCGTCCGTCCGTCCGTCCGTTTATCCATCCGTCTGTCCATGAAAGCTTTGTAATCAACCTGTAGTTTTGAATATTATTCGATTAAATTTGTTACAATATAATTATCGTTAAAAGACTTTTCAAGCAAAAATTTAAAAAAAATTTTGAGAATATTGACAAAAGGCTAATGTTGTATATTATCACTTGAGTGACATTTAGTTTACTATTAGAACAGAAATTGATTTATCAATATTCTAACCTAATTTACAGAGCAGGATGACGATGACCATACGCCCGTTGTAGTGTAGCAGATCAGAGTCTCTGGTAAGAATCGAACCCACAACTCCCAGACTGACAGGTATAGCTTTATACCATTATTTTCCCACGTATACCCAACATACTACACCATTGTAGGGAATAGACAATCAACGTTGAAATGCAACCATTACAAACGACAGTCGTGATGCAGTTATTAATTAAATATTTAATTCATATTTTTTTTAAATTGTTAAATGCAAATACATATATCTAGACAAAAATAAATTAACAGCAATATAAAATAAATACTGCTAAGTCACAATGTTGAAGTTCATTTTTCTTCGCTTTAATTAACAACTAAAAGCTCTTAACTTGTATCTCAAAATGTTTGTTTCTGAAGTATAAAAACAAATCTGACTCTTTAGGAAACCGGCATTCGCAAACTGGTAGTGAGTAAAAAACGTTATAAAGATCATAGGTATAAAAAAACAAGTGCTATAAAAAAATATAAACAAATAGAAAACAACAAACTAATAAATAATATGAAAAGGTGCGAACAATAAAACATAAATAAACAACTAAATAGTTGAAATAATAAAAAAAACTTTTAATTATTTTTTTTTTAGTTTATTACTCATATTAGCGGGTTTAAGTCTCGTGCAATTAAGTCTAACACAAGTTTTAAATGGTGGAGCTTGTAATCAAAATATACCCACCGTCAAGAATTTTGATGCTTCCAGGGTAAAGTTGATATCAAACAACATAGCTCTACATTATTATTATAAAAAGTTTTATTTGTTTTAGTATTTGGGCCGCTGGTATGAAAATCAAAAATATCCTTTCATTTTCGAATTGGGCGGTAAATGCATTTACGCCGAATATGGTTTGATGGAAAATAAAGATCTTAGTATTTACAATTTTAACATAAATACACTGTAAGTTTCTTTTCACCGTGAAATTGAGTTTTGTGATAATTTATAAATTATATTGACATTTTTTTAGAACCGGTAAACCTAATGATATTAAAGGCTCGGCTAAGATTGTGGGCAATGCTAAGTTGAAGGTGAGATTCAGTAGTATGCCAGGTGAGTTAATTTAAGTAATTTTATTAAAAATTTAGCAAAAGCTAAATATTAAAAATGTGTGAATTTTATACACGTATAAGTCATTGCCTCGATATTTACAAATTTGCTTGAAATTTTTTATTCATTATAAAAAATGTGAGGTTTATACCCTTCACTTTTTTGGAAACTATAAGTTGATCATTCCATTTGTAATTTTCACACTATAATTGTCTGACCTAATAGAACCGCTATCATTACATGTCCTTCTGTCTGTCCGTTTATCTATGTCTAACTGTGAGTATGTATGTATGTATACTGCACTGTCTATAGACTAGAGTATAGTATAGACTATACACTAGACTTTAGACGAGACTATAGACTACTCTATAAACTAGACTTTAGACGAGACTATAGACTACTCTATAAACTAGACTATAGATTAGACTATAGATTAGACTATAGACTAGACTATAGACTATAGAATAGACTATAGACTAGACTATAGACTAGACTATAGACTAGACTATAGACTAGACTATAGACTAGACTATAGACTAGACTATAGACTAGACTATAGACTAGACTATAGACTAGACTATAGACTAGACTATAGACTAGACTATAGACTATAGACTAGACTATAGACTAGACTAGACTATAGACTAGACTAGACTAGACTATAGACTAGACTATAGACTAGACTATAGACTAGACTATAGACTAGACTATAGACTAGACTATAGACTAGACTATAGACTAGACTATAGACTAGACTATAGACTAGACTATAGACTAGACTATAGACTAGACTATAGACTAGACTATAGACTAGACTATAGACTAGACTATAGACTAGACTATAGACTAGACTATAGACTAGACTATAGACTAGACTATAGACTAGACTAGGCTAGACTAGACTAGACTAGACTAGACTAGACTAGACTAGACTAGACTAGACTAGACTAGACTAGACTAGACTAGACTAGACTAGACTATAGACTAGACTAGACTATAGACTAGACTAGACTATAGACTAGACTATAGACTAGACTAGACTATAGACTAGACTAGACTATAGACTAGACTAGACTATAGACTAGACTAGACTATAGACTAGACTAGACTATAGACTAGACTATAGACTAGACTATAGACTAGACTATAGACTAGACTATAGACTAGACTATAGACTAGACTATAGACTAGACTATAGACTAGACTATAGACTAGACTATAGACTAGACTATAGACTAGACTATAGACTAGACTATAGACTAGACTATAGACTAGACTATAGACTAGACTATAGACTAGACTATAGAATAGGCTATATATTGTACGTCTGTCTGTCCAAACGGAACAAGCAAGAGGTTTAAAATGTTCCTTGATAATTTATAATATTGGTGCACATTTTTCTATAACCCCTATACAAGGGGCCCCCGGGTAACAGTTTTTATATTCATACCTGTTTTGAAATATAAGTATAACAAAAAATTTGCCATTAACATGTTATAGACGATCCAAACTTTATGAGTTTCGGTGCATAATTTACCCTATATAAGGTCCATTCTAGAAAATTACTTTAAAGCTCTTTTCTGGCTTTAAATTACCAGTACAGCGTTGGATTTTACACAAAAAAGAAGTACCACTGTGCTTTTTGAAATTTGACATAAACAATTTCTACACAAAACAAAATCATGGTTCAAAATATTTTGAGTATCGGTCTGTTAATTACCCTATTTCCCATAAAACTGCGGCATGGTTATAAATATTGGATATCGGCAAAGCTGGATATAACACTCTTACTTGTTTTTACTGAAATTTCTTTTGAAAGATGTGCCTATAAAAAATTTGGAATATGTAGGTGATTGAATGATAAGACTTTGCTTGTTTTCAATTTTAATTTAATGATAAATATATGTATATATAACACATACATATGTTTGTATAAATCTAAACATTAAGCTGTATTGATATGTATAAATTCTAAAAAAGAACATATAGTAGTACATTTAATCAAAAGTGAACTTTGATTGACTACATGACCTGATTAAAATTATTTCAATTACTTTCAATGATTTTCTTTATCACTTTTAATTAAAAGTAAGCATGTAAGTAGTTACTGTAAGACTAAATAATTGTTAGTAATAATTACTTAATTTTACGTCGATGAACAATTCATTAGTTCATACTTTTTCCACTATGTAGTTTAAAAAGAAGAGTGGAAAAACCACATTTATATAATTTTTTTTTTAAGTTTTTATTAAAATGATAAATCTTGAATGTTAAACTTCTAATCAATGTTTTAAGAGTAGATATTAATTCGATTATATTTTAACATTTCTACATAACCCTCGTATATTTTCACTTTATTTACAGCTTTTATTGGTGCTGCTGACTATTGGATTTTAGATACAGACTATGATAACTATGCTGTGGTTTATTCATGTACAGATATTGGTGGTCTAGTGAATGGCAGTAAGTATAAAACAAAAAACAAACTACAGATTTACTATCAATACACTTAGTAAATTAGTGAAATGAAAAAGCTTTTCATTCACATTTTAAAAGCAAACATCACACATTGATTAAATTTATGAACATGTAAAAAAGACAACAAAAGCTTAATATATTTAATGACACTCATACACATACAATTTCTGTTGATATTAAAAATATATATATATATTTTTTTGCTAATTCATTGCATGTTGATGTAACATGCACTTTGGTCACTAAATAATGTAGAGAAAAAAAAAGTAAATATTTTTTTTTTTATTTGTGCAACTAAATGAAAATGTTACATTTTATTGTCATTATCTGATGTAATTGTAAGCTTTTCTCTTTTAGTACTAACAAAACTGTATGATTCATAAATTTTTTTCTACAATTAGTTATTTTAATATTTTATTTATTTTATTGCAATTTTATAGAGGTCGTTTGGATTTTAACTCGTGAACGTGAACCTCAGCCCCAGTATATTGAACGAGCTAGAAGTGTTATCAAGGAAAATGGTCTATCATTGGGCCCCCTCTACAAAAACAGATCAGAGTGGCTGTGAGAAGGGATCAGGTTATAAATAAATAAAGATTAGAAACACATGTGTAAATAGTTAAAAACAATTGTAAAATGGTCTAGTTAGAATATAAAATAAAAACTATATGAATAATTTTTTTTTAACAGTAGAGTAAATACGTCTTTCGTTAGTAATGTAAATACAACTATACCTCTAGTTCAGTTCTAGTTCAGTTCTAGTCAGTTCTAGTTCAGTTCTAGTTCAGTTTCTAGTTCAGTTCTAGTTCAGTTCTAGTTCAGTTTCTAGTTCAGTTCTAGTTCAGTTCTAGTTCAGTTCTAGTTCAGTTTCTAGTTCAGTTCTAGATCAGTTCTAGTTCAGTTCTAGTTCAGTTCTAGTTCAGTTCTAGTTCAGTTTCTAGTTCAGTTCTAGTTCAGTTCTAGTTCAGTTCTAGTTCAGTTTAGTTCAGTTCTAGTTCAGTTCTAGTTCAGTTCTAGTTCAGTTCGTTCAGTTCTAGTTCAGTTCTAGTTCAGTTCTGTTCAGTTCTAGTTCAGTTCTAGTTCAGTTCTAGTTCAGTTCTAGTTCAGTTCTAGTTCAGTTCTAGTTCAGTTCTAGTTCAGTTCTAGTTCAGTTCTAGTTCAGTTCTAGTTCAGTTCTAGTTCAGTTCTAGTTCAGTTCTAGTTCAGTTCTAGTTCAGTTCTAGTTCAGTTCTAGTTCAGTTCTAGTTCATTCTAGTTCAGTTCTAGTTCAGTTCTAGTTCAGTTCTAGTTCAGTTCTAGTTCAGTTCTAGTTCAGTTCTAGTTCAGTTCTAGTTCAGTTCTAGTTCAGTTCTAGTTCAGTTCTAGTTCAGTTCTAGTTCAGTTCTAGTTCAGTCTAGTTCAGTTCTAGTTCAGTTCTAGTTCAGTTCTAGTTCAGTTCTAGTTCAGTTCTAGTTCAGTTCTAGTTCAGTTCTAGTTCAGTTCTAGTTCAGTTCTAGTTCAGTTCTCTAGTTCAGTTCTAGTTCAGTTCTAGTTCAGTTCTAGTTCAGTTCTAGTTCAGTTCTAGTTCAGTTCTAGTTCAGTTCTAGTTCAGTTCTAGTTCAGTTCTAGTTCAGTTTCTAGTTCAGTTCTAGTTCAGTTCTAGTTCAGTTCTAGTTCAGTTCTAGTTCAGTTCTAGTTCAGTTCTAGTTCAGTTCTAGTTCAGTTCTAGTTCAGTTCTAGTTCAGTTCTAGTTCAGTTCTAGTTCAGTTCTAGTTCAGTTCTAGTTCAGTTCTAGTTCAGTTCTAGTTCAGTTCTAGTTCAGTTCTAGTTCAGTTCTAGTTCAGTTCTAGTTCAGTTCTAGTTCAGTTCTAGTTCAGTTCTAGTTCAGTTCTTAGTAGTTCTAGTTCAGTTCTAGTCTTTAGTTCTAGTTTTCTAGTTCAGTTCTAGTTCAGTTCTAGTTCAGTTCTAGTTCAGTTCTAGTTCAGTTCTAGTTCAGTTCTAGTTCAGTTCTAGTTCAGTTCTAGTTCAGTTCTAGTTCAGTTCTAGTTCAGTTCTAGTTCAGTTTGTTCAGTTCAGTTCAGTTCTAGTTCAGTTTCTCTTTCAGTTCTTTTCAGTTCTAGTTCAGTTCTAGTTCAGTTCTAGTTCAGTTCTAGTTCAGTTCTAGTTCAGTTCTAGTTCAGTTCTAGTTCAGTTCTAGTTCAGTTCTAGTTCAGTTCTAGTTCAGTTCTAGTTCAGTTCTAGTTCAGTTCTAGTTCAGTTCTAGTTCAGTTCTAGTTCAGTTCTAGTTCAGTTCTAGTTCAGTTCTAGTTCAGTTCTAGTTCAGTTCTAGTTCAGTTCTAGTTCAGTTCTAGTTCAGTTCTAGTTCAGTTCTAGTTCAGTTCTAGTTCAGTTCTAGTTCAGTTCTAGTTCAGTTCTAGTTCATTCTAGTTCAGTTCTAGTTCAGTTCTAGTTCAGTTCTAGTTCAGTTCTAGTTCAGTTCTAGTTCAGTTCTAGTTCAGTTCTAGTTCAGTTCTAGTTCAGTTCTAGTTCAGTTCTAGTTCAGTTCTAGTTCAGTTCTAGTTCAGTTCTAGTTCAGTTCTTCAGTTCTAGTTCAGTTCTAGTTCAGTTCTAGTTCAGTTCTCTAGTTCAGTTCTAGTTCAGTTCTAGTTCAGTTCTAGTTCAGTTCTAGTTCAGTTCTAGTTCAGTTCTAGTTCAGTTCTAGTTCAGTTCTAGTTCAGTTCTAGTTCAGTTCTAGTTCAGTTCTAGTTCAGTTCTAGTTCAGTTCTAGTTCAGTTCTAGTTCAGTTCTAGTTCAGTTCTAGTTCAGTTCTAGTTCAGTTCTAGTTCAGTTCTAGTTCAGTTCTAGTTCAGTTCTAGTTCAGTTCTAGTTCAGTCTGTTCAGTTCTAGTTCATTCTAGTTCAGTTCTAGTTCAGTTCTAGTTCAGTTCTAGTTCAGTTCTAGTTCAGTTCTAGTTCAGTTCTAGTTCAGTTCTAGTTCAGTTCTAGTTCAGTTCTAGTTCAGTTCTAGTTCAGTTCTAGTTCAGTTCTAGTTCAGTTCTAGTTCAGTTCTAGTTCAGTTCTAGTTCAGTTCTAGTTCAGTTCTAGTTCAGTTCTAGTTCAGTTCTAGTTCAGTTCTAGTTCAGTTCTAGTTCAGTTCTAGTTCAGTTCTAGTTCAGTTCTAGTTCAGTTCTAGTTCAGTTCTAGTTTCAGTTCTAGTTCAGTTCTAGTTCAGTTCAGTTCTAGTTCAGTTCTAGTTCAGTTCTAGTTCAGTTCTAGTTCAGTTCTAGTTCAGTTCTAGTTCAGTTCTAGTTCAGTTCTATTCAGTTCTAGTAGTTCTAGTTCAGTTCTAGTTCAGTTCTAGTTCAGTTCTAGTTAGTTCTAGTCATTCTAGTTCAGTTCTAGTTCAGTTCTAGTTCAGTCTAGTTCAGTTCTAGTTCAGTTCTAGGTTCAGTTCTAGTTCAGTTCTAGTTCAGTTCTAGTTCAGTTCTAGTTCAGTCTAGTTCAGTTCTAGTTCAGTTCTAGTTCAGTTCTAGTCAGGTCTAAAAGTTAAGTTTCCCTGCCAAAAAGTTATTTCTCCACTTATTACGATTTTTTAAGTAATTTTTTTTTCTCATTCAGATTCCACTTTTGTTGTTAATTACTACTTGTCTTGTATTATGTCTTTTAAATACTATTAGAAGAAAACGAAAAATAATAAAACACAAAATGGTTGAAAAAAAAACTAATAAAGAACGGAGAAAATTAAGAAAAAAACAAGTTCATGAAAATTCATTCATTTCAATTTAAAACAAACCCAAGGCTCCCTATTAAGCATGTTCTTTGAGGGAATGATTTAAATTATTTTTTTTTGTTTGCATAAACATTCCAGTTTTATTTTCTGTCAACATGTAAGTACGAGTTTAAGTTGTATGTAAAAATAATTTTCACTTTTGTTTTATTGGTTTAGTTAGACATTGAATAACTTTTTTAAGACCAACATTAAGCGGCCACAAGTAGATGATGTTAATTTTAATACAAGGCTTGTATGTACACCAACTTGTAATTAGCCTGTAGAGCAATTAAGCAACAGGAGACAATGGATAAAAAAAGTTATAAAGAATATTTTTATAATATATTATTGTTATTTAAAACGGTTTTTTACTAACTTTAATTTAGGAGTATAATAGACTTGGCGTATTATTAATACAACATCATTTGAACATTTGTTTAATGCTTTTAACACACATCATTGCACTTTTAATTTAAAAACTTTTCTAGTTTTGTTCCCTTCAAAACCTGCAATCTTTTAGGGAGATATTAATCTAACTTAAGACTTTATTAATTACAAACTTTTTTCTACTCATCATAAATGCTGTCTCAAAAAGATGAACTGATTTAGAAAAGTTTAACGAAGAAACTAACAATTATGAAAACTTAAGTATACTTAAATGCTTAACTTAATATCATTAATAATAAAGTTTACTGATATTAGAGAATTACTCACAATGATATAAATAGTTATGAGTAGTAAATAAATAATGAAAATAGCAATTATTGGAAAAATCCTGGAAACTATAGGATATTTTCTTAAAAAAGAATTATTGATAGCCTCGAAAGATATCATAATGTATTGAGCCAATACAAGACAAGTATATAGCCTTTGATTTTATTAAATATTCTTTGAAAATTATTAAATGTTTTTGGTTTTTTTTTTTCTTTCATTTACTTTATAACTCCCTATTGGCAATTCATATTTTTAGTATTTATAAAACGTTTCATTCCTTATTGTACTTCCCGTCTCTTTTATATTTAAAGTAGTGTTGGTTATAAAGTACTTTTTTATGCCAGCCAAAATAAACAGTTTTATTAACAAAAACAATACCAACATGTACTACATTGTAAACAATATCGAAGGGCTCCGACACCCAGTAAACACTCGTATGCTAGACTTCATTAGAGTAAGATTATTGTAAGATTTTGCCTACTCATTTTATATTTTTTATTAAACCAAAGACTGATGTTCTTCTAGTTCACGTTGTAGTTAAGTTCCCAGTTCAGTTCTAGTTCTGTTCTAGTTCTGTTCTAGTTCTGTTCTAGTTCTGTTCTAGTTCTGTTCTAGTTCTGTTTCAGTTTCTGTTCTAGTTCTGTTCTTAGTTCTGTTCTAGTTCTGTTCTAGTTCTGTTCTAGTTCTAGTTCCTAGTTCTGTTCTAGTTCTGTTCTAGTTCTGTTCTCGTTCTGTTCTAGGTTCTGTTCTATTCTGTTCTAGTTCTTCTAGTTCGTTCTATTCTGTTCAGTTCTGTTCAGTTCGGTCATAGTTCTGTTCTAGTTCTGTTCTAGTTCTGTTCTAGTTCTGTTTCTAGTTCTGTTCTAGTTCTGTTCTAGTTCTGTTCTAGGTCTGTTGCGAGTTCTGTTCGAGTGCTGTTCTAGTTCTGTTTCTAGTTCTGTTCTAGTTCCTGTTCTAGTTCTTCAGTTTCTGTTCTAGTTCTGTTCTAGTTCTGTTCTAGTTCTGTTCTAGTTCTGTTCTAGTTTGTTCTAGTTCTGGTTCTAGTTCTGTTCTAGTCTGGTTCTAGTTCTGTTTCTAGTTCTAGGTTGCTGTGAGTTCTGTTCTAGTTCTGTTCTAGTTCTGTTCTAGTTCTGTTCAGTTCTGTTCTAGTTCTGTTCTAGTTCTGTTCTAGTTCTGTTCTAGTTCTGTTCTAGTTCTGTTCTAGTTCTGTTCTAGTTCTTGTTCTAGTTCTGTTCTAGTTCTGTTCTAGTTC